TGTGTGTGTGAGAGAGAGAGAGAGAGAGAGAGGGTGTAAGTGTGTGAGTGTGTGTGTGTATGTGTGTTTGTGTGTGTGTTCATGTGTGTGTGTATACATGTGTGTTTGTGTATTTGCGCGTGTGTGTTCATTTGTGTGTACATGTGTGCGTGCGTGTATGTGAGTATGTTTTTGAGCACGCGCACATGCACGTACTTTGATGTAAGGAGCGGAGGGGTCGTGGTGCTTGATTCCATTTTGTTTTTGTTTTGTTTGATTTTCTTTATTTCTTACGTTTGTACAAGGCTCCCGTTTTGTGTCATAAATCAACCAGCTCCCAAACGTACACTGTGAGCCGACAGGTTTGTATCCTGAGGTCGAGCCATGGGTCGAGCTCATCATTGGTTGCGGTGTGAAACAGCGGGAAAAAGGGGTGGGGATGCGTAAAAGGGTCAACAAACCTGCTCCCACTAAACTGGAATGTTGCTGATGTTTATTATGGATTCTATGCTGAAAGCTTCGGTTAGAATAATTGTACACATCATCACCTAGTCTGTTCCTATAAACCCATATTTAGCATAACAATCTTCGTGTTTATCAAACTTAAAAAGAAATAATGCTCTGTTCTGTTTATGCAATTTTTTGGGTTTAAACCTTTTTACGAATATCTAAGATCGTTCAGCAGACTGAGAATCCGACACTGGCGTCTGTACCCGATAGACACGATGCAGTTATATGACGAGCTATTACTTCTCTCTCACCCTTCCTTTTCAAGCCATTTGATTCAGAAACTTTTAAATGGGGATTTTGAACCACAGACGCCAGCGCCTCTTTACTTTACTTTTACTTTTTCTTTCCTCTGGTATCCTCAGGATGTGGATGGGAGGTGCAGTTTTCGGCCCTGTGCTAAGTGTGTGGCTTCTGTGATAGATATGTTATGTTGTTCCAGGACCTTTCTAACCACACTCAGCCAGGTCCTTCTTGGTCTTCCTCTTGATTTGAAGCCGGATTCACGGGGTGGTAAGTTCTAGATTCTAGTTATTTCCGGGGCTTTACAGTTAGATGCCCAAACCATTTGATGCTTTGACGCTCAAATGAAATTTATACTAGTGGTATACTGGTTTGTAGGCGTAAGGTCTCGTTCCTTATGCGGTCTCTTCTGGTGATATAGATTGTTTTGCAGAGACACCTCATTTCACATACGTTGATATGCCTTTCTTGTGCATTATTAAGGGACCATATTTGGCACTAGTATGTTAAGGTCAGTATGAAGACACCACTGATAAGCTGGGATTTCATTTCGATTGGGATGTTCTTGAGACTGAACAGGGGTGCTAGCTGGTAGGACTATACATTTACCTTCTTGGTTCTGTATCTATCTCGTTTTCCATTCGCCCATCTTGTGTAAAAGTGCTTCCAAATATTTGAATCCCTCTAAGTGTTGGAATTGTGTTCCACCAATAAAGATGGTGCGTTTCCCTGGGTTTCTGTACACCTTCATAATTTCTGTTCTTGAAATGGACAATTTCATGTTTAGGTGCTTACATTCCTCATTTTGTCATATTATTATAATGCAATGTGATTGAATTGGTTGGCCTGTCTGACGACCTGTCTTTCTTTCCACCACACGTAAACAAATTCTCCTTCTGTTGTGTACCAGATTGGCACTCAACCGTCGGACGCAGAAGTCCTGAGTTCAATATCAGTTTAGGTAGAATTAATATCGAGTAACTCGGTCTTCCTGCTAGGACAGTGTATCCTTCTCAGCTTGGATTAGTCCTGACAGCAGGGTGGAAATATGCTTCCGTAATGATCTGCATTGTGTCAATGTGAACCCCCCCCCCCTCCACCAACATTACACAAAAAACAAATAAACAACAGATGAGAAAAAAAAACAACTAAACAAAACAACAACGTATAAATAGCTGATAGCTAAGCTGATATCATGAGCGTAAAAATATGCATCAACAGCTGGTACGTACTTAGTTACTCTATAAACAATCCCCAATTAATCTATCTTCCTTCCCCTTCATGGAATTATTATTGTTTTTCTTCTACTAGGACACGACCCGCCCCCAACCACACCCACTTCTCCTTGTGTACCAGGAAACCAAACAGCGGCGATGACGTAACACACACTCCAGCACTGGGACATCATCCGTTTCACTTGACGTCATGCTCTTAAACCAGTCTGACGTCACAAGGAGCCTGGTCTGGCCCTGTCTCCCGCTCTGTCCAGGTCTCTGGAGTGCTCTTCACATGATTAACCCTTTGTAGCCGTGGCCGGGCGATTAACTCTTGTCAGGCCGTTTGCTAGTGGACTAACGTCGTCCTATGGGTTTTCTCCAAAGTGTCATCGTGAGGAATGGGGAGGATTTTGTTGTGGAATGAAAGAATGCGAGGATGGGTTGGTAGGCAGATAGAGAGAGGGAAGGAAAGAGAGAGAGAGAGAGAGAGAGAGAGAGAGAGAGAGAGAGAGAGAGAGAGAGAGAGAGACAGAGACAGAGACAGAGACAGAGACAGAGACAGAGAAAGAAAGAAAGGGAGAGAGACAGAGAGAAGGAGAGAGAGAGAGAGAGAGAGAGAGAGAGAGAGGGGGGGGGGGAGGGAGGAGAGATAGAGAGAGCTGTAGATGGAAGGGGGGGGGGATGGAAGAGGAAGTGAGAGATAAAAGAGAGACATAAAGAGAGTGAGAGATGAAAAAGAGACACAGAGATACACACACTCGTGGATAAGAACTCTCTGAGAGACAGAGACACAGAGAGAGAGAGAGAGAGAGAGAGAGAGAGAGAGAGAGAGAGAGAGAGAGAGAGAGAGAAAGAGATAGAGATAAAAGGGACGAGGAGGGTGTGATTTTAAAAAATATATGTTAAGGTGAGCAATTAATAGACTGACATGGAGGTGGACACTACAAAGTTATTGTTGTTGTTGATTTTGTTGTTCGCCTGTATGTGCGTCTAACAAGTGCAACCTTGCAGCTTAGACGTCCAGTCATCATCATCATCATCTAGTGCCAGATCTGCGACAGACATCGGCGATCATGATTTTCCATTCATTCCTTTGCTCGGATGCTCTCAGAAAAGCTACGTTTCCCTGATTTTTCCCTGTTACCCATTTGTTTAGGTTCCCTAAGTATGTTGTTCTGGGCCCACCCCTGCCTCGCTTGCCCTCAATTTTGCCAGTGAGAGCTAGATGTTAAAGACCCGCATGTCTATTCAGGTGTCCCAAAAACTGCATTTGTCGTTTCCTGATTGTTTTTAACATTGAGCGTCCCACGTGGGCTTCATCAAGCACTACCTCATTTGATTTCTTTTTCTTCCACGATACTCTTAGCAGTCTCCTAAGAAACCACATTTCTGTTGCCTCTATTTTATTTTCACTGTCTTTAGTGATTGCCCAGCGTTCACAGCCATATAGATGGGTTGACCAAACATAGCATTTCAGGACTTTCATTTTGGTGTTCATTGATATGTTTCTATTTTTCAAGATTGGGCTCATTTTTATTAAAACCAGCCTTAGCCATTGCAGTTCTCCATTTTATTTCTGCTGAAGATTTGGCATCAGATGTTATCATATATCCTAGATATTTAAACTGTTGGACTTGTTTGATCTTTTCACCTTTGCTACTGAGATTACAAATAGGATTTGCTGCTTTTTTTGGATATTACCATGCATTCTGTTTTCTTTACATTCAACAATAATCCTTTACGTTCACTTTCTTTTACAACAGTATCTAGAAGCATTTGAAGGTCCTTTTCGGAGCCTGCTATTAAAACCGTGTCATCTGCATACCTGATGTTATTAATATTTTTTCCATTAACTTTGAGGCCTGGACATTCTTCTATGTTTCTAAGGATTGTTTCACTGTACATGTTAAAGAGGTCTGGTGACATAACACATCCTTGCCTCACTCCTCGCCTAATCTGCTTATATTCACTGTATTCTCCATTAATTCGTACAGCAGCGTTTTGGTCCCGGTACAAATTTCTTATAATTCTTAGATTTTTTCCATCTAGGTCTAGCTTTTCCAGTATTTTAAATAGCCCATCATGTCTAACTTTATCGAACGCCTTTGAATAATATATGAAGCATAAATACAGATCTTTCTGTGCTTCAATACATCTTTCCATTAACATTTGTAAGGTGAATATAGCATTTCTGGTGCCCTTGTCAGGAACAAAGCCGAATTGCGTTTTAGATATCTCTGGTCTTACACTCCTTCTCAATCTTCCCATTATTACTCGCAGCAATATTTTTGTAAAATGACTCATAAGGCTAATTGTTCTATGCATATCACACTCAGTGGCACCTGGTGTTTTAGGTAAAGCTATAAAAACTGACTTCATCATATCTTCTGGGATCTCACCGCTGTCATAAATAGCATTTAGGACCTTGGTTGTTATTTCAGTGCCTAGTCCAGTCATATTATTTTTAATGAGCCAAGAAAACACATCGAGTTACATAACTTCAAGATACAGCTTTGCGGATTCGAACCAAGGTCAACAATACCTCAGTCCAAAAAAGTGAAAACCAAGTAACCATTTGAGGACCATGATCAGGTCTTGTGTTTTATTCTTTAAGTCAAACGTCATTTTTCAACACTTTAAAACTATTTAAAAAGCAGGACCTCGAGGGATAACGTACATCTCCGATGGGGCCCAGCCAGGAAAATGAAAATCCTTTTCGTTTTTCAATTTAAGTGTTTTACACCCCTATCAATAATGTTTAGTCTATTTGTGAAGCGGCCTCGGACCCAACCTATCAGGGCCAATCTAGACAGAAAGGGATGCAGGGTCCCATCAGAAAGACAGAGATACTTGTACTCCCCCCCCCCCCCCCCCGCAAAGGAATCGAACTTAGTTCTTCTTTTCGCAGTGGCTGAAAACCGGAACGCTACACCACAGACACGGGCCACCCCCCCCCCCCCCCCCAACAATTCAAGTCCAAAGAACACATCAGGGATTAGAACCAGGTCACCCGTCATAAGTGCAGCATGATGTCAGCTGAGCTAGCGAAGCGCCTAATAGACAACAGAAAAATACACAATATGTCCAGAAGTTTAAAGTGTCAACGTCTGACAGGAGAGAGTGACCGTAGGTCATTTCGAAGTTGTCGATTGGGTGCCCATTGGTCAAATAAAAGTTTTGATCTGCATGATCAGATCGGATCGGATCGGGTTAATTTGGCAAATTGGTTTGTTAGCAGCATTAGCTCCAAAACTGAAGACTGCATTGACAACGTCCATCAAAGACTTAAAGTTAAAAATGAATGGATAGCTTTTGTGAAATTTAAAACCGCCTGGAATTCAAAGGTCATTTCACTGAAGACTAAATTAACGATGTTTAATAGCAAGTTCGTTACGTGGTGAAGAAAAAGAATTAAAATTACATAAGTGATGGTTGGAGATCATGATATATCCAACGAGTGAAATTGCCAAACCGTAATCACGAGTTTCAATAATAATAATAACGTAAACATAAGCAAAGTAAGAAGAAAACGTACGATTCAAAAGTTGAAAGATTAAGAAACTGCATTTATGTGGCATGTTGTCGTAAAAATACAGATGATTTTGACTTTGATTTGCAACCAAATTATACCAAAGGCTAGAGTCGTTTGTTAGCACACTGCATTTGTTCAAAGCATTACAATGGTCAACAATGAAAAAAGTTTTTTTTAGCAACGTGCATTGTCATGTTTTATGGAAATTGATGTGCTGATTCCAAATATGTAGTTATTTTCTGCCTAAGGTGAAATTTTTCCAGAATTGTAACATTTTATTTCACGTATCCTTGATGTTGTTAGGGGATGTAAGAATAACAGGCTCTATCAAAGAAGGGAAGTAACTTTAATTTTTTCAAGAAAAAGAATTAAGCAAGTGAAATGTCTCATATCATATTTTTCTATGCCATATTGTTTTAAAGTTTAGATTGCTTTCATTTCTACAGTCAATCATTAATATCATGTAGTGATAGAAATATAATATGTAACCTACAAATCAAAAGACAATGCAAATAAAAGATACAATTTTCAAAAATTATTTGATAAAGTGACTAGATAATTTTAAAGGGAGGTAATCATTTGATGGTCATTTATTCAATTTAATGTAATTGGTTTTCACTGAGAACTGAGAATTCATTTATTTAATTTTAATGTCTACCACTTTCCAGCCACTGTGTTTTTCTGGTGAGCTGTTTTAATGTCTGGACGGAAAAAGTAATTCCCAAACGTCAGTTGTGCTAATTAAACTGAACGAGGGAATTTTAACTGGATCTGACAAGAGTCATACGTAATGACACATTTGAGCAGATTATGATTTCATTCAAGAAAAAGATATTACTTAATGAACTGAACGTATCAGCACCACGCTCTGACGTATTTTGGAACACGATTAAGGGCAAGGTAAAAATATTGCACGTTCTCTCGACTACAGAGAGACTGAGAGACTGGTGTTTGGCACTTCATTCAGGTGCCCATGGTGAGCGTGCTTCGCAACAATTTTTTAATGAGGGCAAAGAGCGGCCGCCATAACATTGCTTTGTCTGGGAATATTATGATTCAAGTCTAAACTTTACTTATTGAGGGTTAGAAGGCGAATATAGAGCGTGGAATAATTTATTTCAAAATTAGCTTTTATTTTACGCTTGAAATATTAGCTCATATTTCACATGTGAAAAAAAAAAGGATTCATTTTATCCGAATTGCTATTCTAAAACAATTAATTGTATGACATAAAAAAGACTATATACGGCCAATGACCACCCAATCCATAGCACGTCGTCTTGACTACATATTCTGTGAAGAAGAATTTCTTATTTTACAACATAATAAAAAGTTGAAAGTAGCCACGGAATTGTCAACGGTATGGATCAGAAAGGGATTTTATGTGTATTTAGAACGGGTGAGTTTAGAAGAGAACCGTTATTTTGAAAATCCAACATTTCGTTGTTATAATAAATCATAAGGAATTTGTGTTTGACGTGAATCAGTGTATTGGCGATTTTTTAGAATCTACCGATGACTATTTTAACTGTAAAAAGATGGGAATTACTTTAAATAATAGTCAAAGAGACAAGTATGGAACATGGAGTAAAACGAAACAGGGCTTTGAGATACCTAGAAAACGTGCTAGCTAATGAAAGTGCTAGAGTAAACGGACATGGTGATGAATCCCGATGATAAACCAGCTCATCAGCAGCTCGTGAGAAAAAGGCGAGACATTGAAGTAATGGAGCTTAGTAGAACTAAAGGTCAAATTACATCTCGGAAAAAAATGGATTGAGGATAGTAAGAAAAACATGAAATTCTTTAAAAAACTGAGAGAAATCTAAAGACAGTAGCAATAATATTATATCTCTTAAGAGTTGCGCTCGGAATGGGGTTTTAATACAGATTGGAACCAAAATTAAAGAGGAAATAAAAATACTTTTTGAAAGGTTGTACAGACAAGATGAGAGTGTAAACGATGTAGACCA